GTCTGCTGTCCAAGTCAATGACAGTTTGAAAAACCGTGATATTTATCATAAATATAAAAAAAATAAATTATAATAAATTGTTTTTAGCATGTGAACAGTTGTTCATTTCACACTTCAATGATTATACAAGCTGGATCAAAGGTCCATTGACCAAAATCAACTATATTTTACAAAATAATGTGCTAAGTGGTAATTAAACAAAAAATGTGACCAATTCTCCATTAAAAGAGCTAAGCTCAATGATCTTTGGCAGGGGAGGAGCCATAATTTTCGGGAGAATAAACATGGATGGGGCTTTGGAAGACTAATCATCGGATGGGGTGGGGGAGAGGGGAAATTTACGTGGAGAGGGGTAGTAAAAGTGGGGATTAGGGTCACCCTGGCTCTACCCTTGATCCTTGGGGTTGCTTTACCCAATGTTCATGTTAGAAAAAAAAAATAAAAAAGAAAAGAAAAGAAACTTGGGGTAGAATTGATTTCACTTGATCTAATTATAAATGTCATAAAACTCCTTATACCTTAAATTATACTTGACAAAGCCTATACATCGCACGAGTCCCAACTAATATAAATGCAAAATACTGTAAAATATAAAAATGTAAAAGAAATAAAAAAAATCATATTATTTTTGCAATAATTATTTGTGTTTTGAAAAACAAAATCATACATATTAGTGAAAGAATCCAGATATTTTACTTACACTTGCCATGCTAAGCAATCAGTGTGTGATAAGTAACATCTATGGCCTTGAATGCCCCCTCTCCTTAATAAAACATTGTTCAAATTTACTATCGATATTACAATTATATCATGTTAGAAAAGACTATATAATTTAGAGTGAATAAGACAAGAATCAGTCTTTTATAACATGATATAATTGTAATGTAAATCTGAACAATGTATACTAACGGGGTAATTGTCAATCATAATCATCATCTAAGCCCTATCGAAACCATATGGATTAAGCTATGTACATGAATCCGGTTTTATCATTCCACTTTGTTCAATAATCATTCATTGTAAAGTTACGGATGGTTAAAACAGGTGAGCACGTTAAATGAATCAGATAAGCATGTATGTTCTCATTATGAGTGGGCTTGTACGTGCGCAGCAAACTTCTTGTCAGATTTCTGGGGTAAAAGAGGATTCAGACAATTTCAACTAAAGCTGGTGATGATGTCAGGGCTCGTAGAAGAATACAAAATATATTTACGGGTGCCCCCACCCACACCCCACAGTACTTTTTATATGTATATTACGTGCATTCCGGAACCATGCCAAAAAACAGTTCTAAAACAATAATAGCCCACTAGATTCTCTTGCGATTTGTCTTAACATTTTGGAGATGAAACATATTGCAGATGGAATAATGGAATCGGATGATTTAATTCAGGACTAGGGATGTTAATGGATCAGGTTAGATGGTAAATCCGCATTGATCCGACCCGTCTATTCTGTTGACATTGTAGATTTGCAATATGTATAGAAAGGGAAGTGTGGGGTGGATTCAATCGGGTCGGGTATGGATTGCAACAAACCCGTACTGAATCCTAAGTCCGAACATTGAGAATACTTTTCTTATCTGAGTCATAATTTTCAGGGGATATCGACAAATAGTGTGGGTTCAGTTCTTGGCAAAATCAAAGATAAATGATACCATAACACGGTCGCCGACTCGAACTTGGCAAAAGGACAAGAGCGAGCGGTTGAGCCTCCCCCGGAAGAGGGTCGGGTCAGTTGGGGGCCTACCCTAACTAAACTGATTATTTTGGATTCTTCATGAACCATGAATTGATGATCATCTCTATCAATTAAAAAGTTGTGACCCACCCTATAATGGTGGAGCAACGTCACTTTCGGACCCCACAAAACCCTCATCCGATAAGCTTACGACCCAAAAAATAAAGAGAACTGGTTTGTTGTTGTAGCTTATGGGATAAGGGGATGGATTGGATTTGTAATTTGGCATCGGTTGATCTGCCAAACCTTGTGTAATGTATGTTTGTTTCAGTGTTTATCTTTGCTTGATAAATGAATTCCAGAGAAGTAATTAACATGACAAAGCGGTAGGCTAGTATCCAAGTTGAGTTGGTATTCTCTTACATATGATTGTTAGTTAGTACCATTAGCTTTGGCTTTGAAGTGGAACTGCCAACCGCTAGGTTATTGCCAATGTACTTGGTCGTTTGTAGCCAAGTTTTGGAGGATACCCGTGTTGCGTAATCCACTTGCCGACCGTGGTCGCAGGTCGCAGGTCGCAGGTCGCAGGTCGCAGCGCTCCCATACATGATTGACACAACCACCCCCCCAAATTAAACACACACACTCCAGCCGTGAAAATCAAAATAAGCTGTTCCAAGTTATTTACAACCCCCGGTCTTCTGTGCATGTGGGGCCCATATAGGATCCCCCAACTTATTATGTCTCTAGTCAGTTCAGACTTGTTGATTGGGGTGGTAATTTACGAGAAAAATAAAATGTATTTTTATTCGCTCACTCCAACTACTCTTCTCTTGTGCCCGCCTTTTTCATCACTATTTATGATGTAAATGAAAAATTAGTGGATGTGAAGTGGTCTATACCACATCCTATTATATATATATATATATATATATATATATATATATATATATTAATTCATACTCTATCACTATTTATACCATTATAATTTTAAATAATAATATAAATAATTATAATTGAAAATAAAATATCAATACATAATTACCGATAAATATAAAAAATTATATTTATCATATATGTCAAATATTAAAGGAGCTTTGTGTGATTTCACCGATGGAATATGTCATAATGGCGGAGCTTTGTATGGCGACAGATTTGTGCAATGGTGAGAAGTTGTAATGGAAGGGTTTTAAGGTTTCATACAATAAAAAGAAAGCATGTTGAGGCAATGTAATACTGATGTGTTGCACTAAATTGTATCACTGGGTTGTCCACATCATAAATCAGCCGTTACCACAATATTTTGTTATGTGGATCGTTCTTGTCCACAAGATGAATGCATACCATATGAACACATGATTATCTAGTAGAATCAAGCCAATGGCCCCTTCCACGAGATAATCATACAACCGAATAATACCTTATTGTTTCGTGTTTAAATGAAAAGGGGGCACTTGTCCAACATGAATTGTTTTTTCTTATTACCAATCCCAAAAAAGAAAAAATTGAAATAAATAATTTCTCAAAACACAAAAACATATTTATTTTTTATTTTCACTATTGCAACAAAAAACATGTTCTTAAATTCCTAATTTCAAATATATGTTTTGCCTTGCTGATTTTCTATTATGTTTCATAAATCATATGTACATAAATTCTAATTTACAAAGACAAATATGATGAGAGATCAGCTTACTGAAACGCATCTCAAAGTTCAAAGTAGTTTGATGGCGAACATAATAATGCCTTTAATCAATGAAACAGTGTTGAATGTCACTTGATTTGAGTTCCTTCGTTGTCAAACATTATCTCTGAACCAGATCTATATATGAGCTTCGCCTGTCTCATAAAAAATCTAAACTCTCTGTTCGATCGGTTGAATTTAAGTGTATTCAAATAAATGGTTTTTTCACTAGTTTTAAGCCCTTGTATTGCTGTTACACATACCAGATCTAATGAACTTTATTCTATCCATCCGGATTCTGATGAGTTACAGAGGAGGAGAGGTGAAGAGAAAAGGGTTGTTCTGCCGCAACCATATCCAAAAAAGTTTGAGACTAAGGCAATGTTTTCAAAATCGGACTGGATCGGATGGTCGGATTGGAAAAACCGGAAATCGGTTACTTGATGGTTCCGTTTCATAATCGGATTGGGTGGTCAAACTGTTGATTCGGACAATGGTTTTGGCCTTTTTTTTTTGTTTTTTTCTTTGGTAAAATGGGTCATTTGTTCGGACCAGATGGTCGGAATGTTCGACCCAGGAACCAGTCCCCAGATCGGTTATCGGTCTGATCCAGTTAGAAAAACCTTAGACTAAGACTCAATTTCGAAGGAATTTTGTAAAGTGTAAAACCTTGTATTTTTGTATTAATTTATATGTATAATATATTTGCAGTGTGCATATTTGTATTTGTACTCTTTTCAAATTGACCCTAAAAATGTTCTTTTATTTAATAACATAATTTTGATAGTTTATAAAACATAACTGGTTTTTAGAAATAAAACTTTTTTTCAGTTCTCAAAACAAAAACTAAGTTGAAGAACGTGTGGTTGTATTTGTTGACATGGAATTTTTTTTTGGTATTAGCCCATTAATACCATTAATAAATTGGGAGAATGACGGGTTTAGCCCAGGGTCAGAATTCATAGGCATAAAGTACAATTGGGATAGGTGCCAGCTCGGAATTGATGCCAATTCACAAGCGGGCATTGATGTATAGAATGGGAGTAATCGACCTTTTGAAATGTTGTAGATTGGAACTGGAAATCAGAATTCTGCAATGGGCCTGTCCATGCTTCTCCGTAATAAATTTCCCTTGACCTTTTTTTTTTCGGAAAAGTACAGACAGGCCTAATGCAGATTTCTGAATTCCACTGCAAATTTATAAATATCCAAAAAGTCAAAAACCCATACTCTACACCCATACTTGCCTGTGAATTAGCATCAATTCCGATCTGACACCTATCCCAACTGTAATTTGGGCCTATAAATTCTAATCCTGGGCTGATCGGCCATTCTCCGTTTTTTTTTCAAAGTGTTGGTTGCGGAAATTGATTCTACAATTGACATGAAAATTAAACTTTGAAAGCAAATGACTATTTACCCTAAATCATGAAGCAGTTTGGGAGCTCCTAAAGTGGCTGAATCGCATCCTGCCCTTAAAATAGTTTATTCAGTGACTATTTACCCATTGAAAGACAAAAAAAGTAAACCGTTCAGTTCAGCTCCGCAACGGCCCTTGCAATTATTGGTTTTCTGTGGGAACCACACCCAATTTTTCCTATAAAAGGGACCTTCTCCCTTCTCTCCATTCATCGCCTCATCACCTCAATTCCTGGTTGCCCATCATTTAATTAATTTGCCAGAGACCAGAGATGGAAAGGTCCAAATCCAATAGCTCTAGCTCTTCTCATTGTGTTGTTGCAGGTTTGCTCATTCTTTTAGTGTTCAGTCCCAGCGGGAAGTTGTGCTCCGCGGGGAGAGTACTGGATGCAGTGAAAGCAAGCACAGATTTCATAAAGACGTCCTGCGGCACCACAATGTATCCCAAGTTGTGCTTCAGCACCCTATCGGGCTATGCGAGCGCAATTCAGACAGACCCCAAGTTACTGGCCGACACCGCCCTATCCGTGTCGCTCACAAACGCTCGCTCCTCCTCAGCCATGATATCCGAGCTATCAAAAAGCCAGCTGGCAACGATGAAACCAAGGGAAGCAGCGGCAATGCGTGACTGTGTGGAGATGGTAGGAGACTCAGTGGACGAGTTGCAGAAATCTATGGCAGAGATGAGTCATCTGGGAGGGCCCGACTTGGGCTTCCAAATAAGCAACATCCAGACATGGGTAAGCGCGGCTCTGACGAATGAGGACACATGTATGGATGGCTTCGCTGGCAAGGCCATGGATAGCAACATCAAGACCAGCATTAGGGGCCGTATTCTCAACCTCGCCCAACTAACGAGCAATGCCTTATCCCTCATCAACAAACTTGTCAACACCTCACCCTAATCCTCCCTCCCTCCCTCCACTCTGCCCTTATACTTGCTCTATATTTAGTTGGATTGGATATATATAGTGGTTAAGTGTACTCAATTTCAAGTACCCTTTTAATTAATTTGCTACTCTTCTTGCTTTTATCAACTGTAAACCCTTTGTTATATTTATACTTGTAAACAAAGAAGACAGATATTATTTCTACTTTGCTTTTGCTTTCGAAATTTGGGCAAACAAAATTGAGCAGCGTTTGGTAAGAGTTGCCGAAACTTAATCTGAAATCACAAATAACTAATAGAATTAATGCTTTAACTCTTGGTTATAGCAGAGTTTCCGGAGAATGGAAATATGGAATTTTACATTACATGCCTGTCGTCGCCCCTAATAATTAATAGAGGTAATGCTTTATACATTCCACTTCGGAACTTGCCCATTGAATTCCCTTGATATCTTTTCATTGTCTCGTTTAAAAGTTAAAACAAAAACAGAGTATAATTTATTGAACCCATGGATAGATAGACAGATATGGAGAGAGAGAGAAAGAGAGAGTCGATAATTGAGGTGTATACATCACCTGGACTCTAGCCTGGAGAGGAAGCCCACCATGTCTGGGTGAAAAGCAAGCAATCTTGTCATCAAGGATCGATACAATACGTATGTATATGCATCCACTATCCACACCGATACAGATCAGGGGTATGGAAGTTTTCAAATTCGGGAAAATTGCCCTGATCCCTCTCAGTTTATTAAAATAATAAATTAAATAAAATTGAATATAAATCTGTATTGATATATTTAAAGATCAAAATTTCGCAGTATATCAGTCTATATCAATCGATATGTATTATATCAATATCTAAAATATAAAGAGCTTCAGGTACATGTTTCAGGGGTTACTCGGGTCTTACACTGAACCCCTAAACATGTTTGTTTAAGAAAATTAAAAAGAATAATTTTAGTTTAAAAAATATAAAACTCTATTGATAGATACTTTAAACCTTGAGAATACACAATACTCAATTTTGGGTTTGGATCTATCTATCTTATGATCCAAAGCAAAACTAGGGTGGCAATTACTGTTCCAGGATTAGGAATTCAATGATTTTGCATGTATGAGAGATATTAAGCAATGTCCAAGTTATTTTTCTATTAATAACTATATCGCTTCAGGTGGCATTATACACTACAAATGGAAAATGATGGTGATGCGCGGAAAATGTTTTTCCAATTCAATGAACGATGGTGCGATGATCAAATGAACGGCTAAGATTTTTCAGAATAAAAATATAAACATTGGGCGGACGCTTTATTTGATGATTAAGAAATGTGGGCCAACCTCAGGACAGGAGGGGGATCCATGAGTCATCAACTCATGACACATGAGTGGAAATGAAAGGACGGCCCTTGATAAGGATATCTATCGCATTCTCTTCTCTCCTCTTAATCCATTTTAAAAAGTTCAAGTTCATGGCTCCAAGTTGACAACTTGAAGTACGTTATCTTGTTTTAAACTTGGCAAAATTGCAAAAACAAGCCCTACATCACATGTGAGACATCCATGAAATACGTTGCCAAGTCTTTATATTTCTTTTTCTTATTTAGCATATTTCTTTATTTATTCTGATATTACATACCATAACGATAAGGGGGTGGGGCAGAGAGAAGGATGCACGTGAGGCCCACTAGCCATACCAATGAGAAAACACGCACCTCTATCTACGGATTTGATCATGTGCTTTTAGTTTTGGAGGGGTGCCAAGTTGTTACGGTCTTATACGGGTTTAGCTTTACCTAGGTTTGGTAGGCTTATGTTAAGGGACATTACCGTCATTTTCGCTTATAAGATTTTTGAGAAAATTGATGTTAGTCGACTTTGGTGGACCGACCAGAGCCAACCGAGTGCATCGGCCATGCGACTTCAGGTCATGATCCAATGCTACTGACCTTGGTGGAGCCATCTCATCGGGCAACTCCTAGCCTCCAAACATACAAAGGCTTGTCCTGGCCTACATTGGCCTGGACACCGCACGGCTTTCTTCCGCTATAAAAGTACCCCGTGACAATTGGTATCAGAGCAAGCTAGCAAATTGCTGCCGCAGTCGGTGTCAAGCAGATTAGCCCAGAGCCGGTTGAAGCGGTCATCTCGATAAGCAGCACATCGTGGGGTGCAGTCCCTAGGCACTTCCACTCGGGTTCAAGCAGCAAATCATATCAGGCCTGGTAAGAGGCCATTCATTCGTGTCCCCATTCCAATGACCCCAAAACAGCACCCTTGTGGGGGCAGACACATTGGTTGTTGTGCTCATGTGAGGGCAGACGCGTGAACCTTTTGTGGAAGGCATATTGTGGTAGTTTGAGTGGGAGAGTGCCATGCTTCCTCACGGACTTCAATTGTTGTTCATTTTGGTGAGGTGTTGGGCGGTGCGCCTACATCTTGGTTTCATGACGGATGAGTCATTGTTCTGTAGTTTTGTCTGAGGCACTACTAAGGCGGGGACAACAGTCCAAAATTGGTTGGTGTGGACGGTTGGTCAAGGAATATCACTGAAGTGGCAGTTTTGCATAGCATGGGTCCTTGGTTGAAGCCACAATATTGAAATGATGGGAATGTGGGTACACTAGCCGTTGGAGCATGACAGCCCTGCATCGGCAGGGTATTCAGAGGATATGCTCAATTCAACAACAGGCAGAACATTCGCAGCAACAGTGCGCATCTCAAGGCGAGTGCATGTTCGGCAACATCATGAGTAAAAGTTGCCACCACTCGCACACAAAGCAGTCAAATCTCCTTGAGGCAGCAGCACATTGGGGTCCCCTCGGAGCGAAAATGTAGCCCGAACCAGTGTGGTGAAGTGTAGTTTCGAGAGCCAACAGAGCATATGCCATGACTAGGTTTGAGTAACCTGCACACGGCGAGGTGAAGACTGCAGGCCAGCATGGTGAAAGGGTACACCCAGCACACATCGCCAACAGTAGGAGTAGACCTATCACATCGTATTCGGTAGCACCACCGAAAAGCTACCAAGAAGACGGTCGAGCCTTGAGGTAAAGATGATATATGGGGCGGACCTCCGCAAAGCAAACATCCAATTTCTTCGAGGGCCATTCTCACACAATTCAACGGCATAGCCATTGCGCGGTTTGAGTAACCTCAACACAGGGGGTGAAGTCCAGGCAAGCCGGCATGGTGAAATGGTTCCGTCCCCATAAATGGACACCAACATAGGCGGCGAGACCCAGGTTGGCCAGGCGAGCCCTAGAACTAGCACAAAAGTGGATGGCGTGGGACACAGACGCCCATTCATGAGAAGACCATTGTCGAGGATGATAATGGATTGACTGGGGGAGTCTGTTATGGTCTAACATTGGCTTAGCCTTGCCTACGCTTGGCAAGCTTACGTTAAGGGACATCACCGTCATTTTTGCCTATAAGATTTTTAGGAGAATTTATGTTATTTTCAAGCAGACCACCAAAAGCTTAACGCACTCTTTGAGGAGGGGTGGTCGACCTCCTTGGGTGCCTAACCTTGGCACTCCTAGACCAACTTCCCTTGTGGTGTGGCACTGGTTAATGGCCTGCATGGCTACCAGGGTTCCTCATGGGCGCACACTTGCTCATGGGGACAGTGCATGGACCGACACTGTGCTACCGACACTCAAGGGAGGCTTGGCATGCAGGCGTGGCTCAAGCATAACCCTTCACCATGCCAGCCCCTTGCCCAAGCTGAATGAGCTATCCCGTTGCCCCTAGTGCACGGGTGTGTTCCGGCCCAGTGGTTGCCTATCATCATGGCACACAGGTGCCCACATCATCGGCATATAGGAGACCCTTTACATCGATGCCAAGTCACCTCTTCGGCGCACAGTCGCCTCACTTCATGGCCTTTCCCCTTTAGCACGTAAGCGGTGCCTCCCATAGACCGGCCAAAGCCAACTGAGTGCCCCGACCATGCGACTTGAGGTCATAGTCCAGTGCTACTGAACTTGGTGGAGCCATCTCATCGGGCAAACTCCTAGCCTCCAAGCATACAAAGACTTGCCCTAACCTATATTAGCTTGGACGCCGCACGGATTTCTTCCGTTGTATAAATATCCCCGCGACAAAGTGGCAAACTTGACAAATGGGTGATGGCAAAAACGGCATTCGGATGGGCTCCTCATAGAACTTGCCGTGTTGAGGAGATGTTCCCTTTACACAAAAGAGATGGGCTGTGGGGCGCCTATAAAGTGTGCTACGTGAGGAGAGCGCCTATCCCGTCTCCGAATATAACCCATCGAGTCAACTCAAATCTGAATTGATCACATTAATAGCATTTAAATACAGCGGTCTTTTTATCATCACCTCAGCTTTTTTTTTTTTTTTTTTCATGCATGGGAGCTAAGGTCATAAAGTATAATCTGGAGGAAAATCCAGGGGAAACCAAGAATGAAATATATTCTCTATTGGAAGATAAATATATCTAAATTTTCTTTTGGCATTATGGGGCCCATATATTACTATTTTTAATAAAATTCAAAATAATGAATTTCCATTAGCACTATATACTAATAGAAAAGATATTATGGAGACAAAGTTGTAGTGATCTAAAACAAAATATCTTATATCACCCCCACAAAATATCTTGCAAACATCATCCTCCTTGACTATTAGAAGTGCCTCATCTTCTGTGGAAGACTATGTATGACCTAATCAACTAACCTCGTCATCTCTTGTATATATACCAAAGTATATATTCAGTCTATGTTGGTCTAGGTCTTCGGACAAGTTAAAAGGTTGCGTGTTGTTGCATCTCACTAGGAAACCAACCACACTCAAGCGTGACTGAAAACGTAAATCCGAAATCCCAGCCGATTTATGGGGTTTCAGATTATCAAAGTTTTGTGAGTCCATTAACAGCCAAAGTTGGTATTGGGGCTTTAGTGTGAGAGTGTGACAATCGCCAACTATAGCTGTCTAAGAATTGAATGGCAATAAATATATATATATATATATATATTTTCTCTTTCCTCCTGTCTTCACACCTCACGTAAATAGATTAGAAAAGACCAAACTTAATGTAGATATAACATAGCCCGACCTGATTCTTTCTCAGACTTGTAAATTCAGGTCCAGCCTGGCTTGTCAGAGCCTTTAGTCGTGGGCTGCTGAAACCCCGTCCAAGTCAAGGTTTCTGCCATGCTGGAAGTGCCCAGCCCATTACCGG